AGATGGCTCAGTGGTCTAAAGCAGCTACTTAGAACAAACTTAGCAAAGCAAAGGGACCGCGGTTCAATCCCCCAGCACCACATGCCAGCTAGCCCCGCCCCCTGGTGGGCTGAGCTGGCCACACACACACACACACACACACACACAAATAAAAAAAATTTTAAAAAAGAATTTGGTCTTATTTTGGAAAACCCATTTGCATGATTTTGGTTTTATTTTTTATTTTTATGCATTTGGTACAAGGACTCACTACAGAGCTGAGACTCCATGATCCTCCTGCTTTCAGTCTCCCCAGTGCTGAAATTACAGGCACGCATCATCACCACGCCCAGTCTCTGTCACCTGCTTAGTGCACCCAGGGGCAGGGCCAGCACAGCATGTGGTGCCTGGGATTGAACCCCAGTCCCTGCTCTTGCCTAAGCAGGTGCTTAGTCCACTGAGCTGTCTCACTGGCCCTTACAATTTTGGTTTTAAACATAAAGTGGCTGGTATAGGAATGTGTACATCAGGGAAACACACCTGGGTTCACATGCTTGTGTGTGCATGCACTATTTCCAAAGGGCCAGGCCTGGCAGTTGGGAGAGGGAGAGAAAATTGCACAGCACACTGTCTCCTGGCCTCTCCTCTTTGCATCCCTTCCCCATCAATGGAAGGGCCCTAGGGTCTGCCTAGCATTGTCCCTGGAAGAGAACAGTCCTTCAATATTCTTGAAAGACTGAATATAATTGCTTAATACAAACAAAAACCCCTTTTCATAGACTCAAATAAATCTCAGTCAACAACCAGACAGTGATGGCAGAGATGGGGGGAGGTGCTCGGAGGGGCAGTACTCCGCGTCCGCCTGGTCTCCTGTCTTGACACTTTGGCCTGTGGTCATGCTATGTCTCCCTGAGTGGTGGTCCAAGAGCATCACCCACGTGGGAGCATTGCAGGGGCTCTCTGGTGCTGTCACCTCCCTCTCAGTGCTCAGAGTCTGGGGGTTGCAGAGAAGGCAGTACTGGGCAGTCCTGGGCAATCAGTGCAGACCCAACTCTCTTGGGTTATCACCAAGTAACTCTCTGGCTCTCTCTGTTTACTCTACCTTCAAAAGTCCTCAAGACACATCACTGACTTGAGTTATCTGTTCATTAGATTCTAGTGAGAACTTTGTTTCCAGGTCTGGGTCCCCCTGAACTGTTGGGTAACTCCTGCAGGTGTTCCCTAACCCCTCGGAACCTCTGTCAACTCTCTGGAATATGAGAAAGAGCCTTTCTCATCCCTCTCAGGTTCACGGGCTGGGTCTGAAAACTTGTCATTTGAATTGTCTCACCCTTAGTGATGGTGAACCTGCCTCCTGTATCGACTACTTCTCCATGAAACTAGCCACAGGATCTTGTAAAATATAATCACATTGTTCTATTCACTTACTCCAAAAGGGTAAAATCTGAACTCCTTGGTGTGACATGTTAAACTTTTGGTGCCAAGTCCCACCCTTCTCCGATCTCCTTTGTCACCCCTCCCTTCTCCCCATACCTCCAGTTCTACCCGATTCCAGCTCCCCACTGAAATGCAGAAACTCCTTGTGCTTCCCAAGCTGGCAATCAATTCAAAAGCATGTGCCAGTCACCCACTCAGGGCCAGTTAGTGGTGTAAGACAAGTAGGAGAGATGTCCAGTCCTCAGAAGCTCAGTCTGCCCTGGGAGATGGGGAAGGAAAAGTGACGCACATGTGTCCTGGGCAAAGGACTCAGTACATTTGGGTTCAGTGAACAAATTAGGGCTCCAAGTTTGGTCTGCTTGGACTCCTCACCCTGACCTCCCACAGCCCACCTCCTGGATGATTCTTAGTTACTGGAGCCAATGCTAGTAAAACTTGCAACACTGATTTCAGACTCTTGCCTCTTTTTCAGTTCCAAGGCCCTGTCTCCATGGAGACTTCCCCTCTCAGACTCCTTGGAGGCAGGCTGCGGCCTGTGTACAGGATCACACCTCTTTCAGGGTAGTTTTGCTTTGCTTTGCTTTGCTGAGTCAGTCACTATGTTGCCCAGACTGGCCTCAAACGTCTGGGTGTAGTTCTAGTCTCCCATATAGCTGGAACTACAGGTGTGCACCTCACCTGACTTGCTACCCTTTAACAATCAGCTCCGGCAACACTTCTAGGAGTTTTCTCTGACACCTCTGGGTCTTCGCACCTTAGTGGTCTGCTTTAGATCCTCTAGAGCAAGATTTGGCATACAAAACCTACTATCCGTTTCTTTCACTAAATTTTGAAATCCTGAGTGTAAGAAATCTTTTTTGCTTCTCCCTCCACAGAGCAGCAAGTGCCATGGACAGAATGAGTGGCCGTGAATGAGTGATGAAGCCATGCCTTCAAAATAGCTGGGTGAATTCAAGTTCTTTGTATCACCCTCTGCAGATATTGGCTGTTTGGATAGTTCGCATGTGCATAATTTTGGAGTTGCATAAACAAAGTTTTTAGAACAAAAGCCTCCATTAAGGGGACAGAGTAAAAATGAAGCGTCTTGTCTGAAGAAAGCCCACCTCAATTCGACTGGGGGCCAAACAAAGCAAATGCTCTCGTCAGGACCCCAGGGATGCCCTGAAATATCTGTCATCCCTCATCCCTGTCTCCTGAAGGCTGCACCCCCCAGCCCATTAGAAATGCTAATCTCCAGCTTGGAGCTGGATTAACAGACCCAGTGGGGAGGGGACAAGTCAGCTTCCAATCTTTATTAAGAGCGAAGGCTGTACCCACTCTGCCCAGCTGCCCCCAAAGGGCTGGGATGGGGACTTCATTAGAGCCCCCCTCATCAAGGCAGCCTCGCTCTTCCACATTATGTATGGGGAGCCCATTCCACTCAACCCTCTCCCCACTTAATGCATCAGAGCCCATTTGTTTGATGTCAGTCCCCACTGGAGCATGGACCAGGCAGCAGGCCCACAGCAATTTGGAGCCACAGCTGAGGCCCCACAGCCCAGCCCCCAGTCTCATCTCATCCCACCCCCAGAACTGATTAGCCTGGGCCTGACCGCAGAGAAGTGCAGCATTGTATAGGCCAGGACTCTACCAGGCCAGGGTCCACACAGACCCTGAGTCCTGACTTACCTTCCCCACCCTAGACCACCCTAGAGACCACAGCAGAGAGCCGGCTGCAGCCAGGGAAGGCACCAAAACACAGAAATGAAGTTACACCTTACGGATTTTTAAAATTCCAGCTGTCTTCTCAAAGGCAGAATCCTATGAAACAAAGACTCCAGGACTGATCTGGGCAGAGACTTTGCAGATGGAAGCTTGGGAGAGTTGTGTGTAAGAGATGAGGTGACTTGGGGACTTCTGTGGAAGGAACTGAGGGGCAGAGACAAGCAGAAGGGTGAAAGCAGCGGGTCTCAAATCTGTCTCCTACTCCAGCTGAAATGCAGATTCTTGGGCCCATGCCAGGTCTACTAATTTTGGTACATGTTCTAACAGGTTTTCCAGGTGATTCTGATGCAAGCTAATGCTGGAGGGCCCAGAGGTCACAGGGACACCACAAGAAAGCCATGTGCCGTTGTGCTGCCAACTGGGGTCAGGCCATACTCAGTGGCTTCCTGTGAGTGGCTGTTTTATACTACCTAGCAAAGTTGGTGAATTTTACATATAAATGGATGCAGAGTGAAACAGGAACTTTGTGGGAATGTCAGGGCCAGTGCATGAGTCTACAAGAATTATCAAAGGGGCTGGGAAGATGGCTCAGCGGAATAAGTGCTTCCCTGGCAAGCACAAGGGCCTGAGTTCAATCCCTGGTTCCACCAAAAGAAAACCCAAAAACAAAACACTACAATCTTCTGTACAGTGAGCAATAGTCAGATACAAATTCAACATTTCACTGACAAAATTCTTTGGGGCCGGGGAGATGGCTCAGTAGGATAAGTGCTTCCCTGGCAAGCACAAGGACCTGAGTTCAATCCCTGGTTCTGCCAGAAAAAAAAAAAATTAGCAAAAATTGAGAAGAGGGCTTTGTTTTTCTTAAGCTATGAAATTGGCAGGGAACTGAGCCATTTAAAATGCTGGTGTCGGGATCCTGAATAGACCCAGAGCGCAGGCCCAGTGCGGAACCCTTCAGCAGAACTCCCTGCAAAGAGGCTAGAGGCAAGACCCACTCAGCCGATTCAGGAGCAGAACATCTTGCCAGAGAGACACAAAGGGTTCAAGTCTAACGGCTGCAGCAGAAAGAAGTGGAGCACAGCAGCCAGATCCAAGCAACACCCACCTGGAGGAATCTGAACTTCATAGATCCAGACCTGGTGCTAAGGTAATAACTCTATCCAAGCTCTTCACCAAAGCTCAGAAGACAGTGGTATACAAAATGACAAAGAGAAGGAACAAAATGCAGTCTCAGGCCCCCAGTCCACCAAGTATAACTTCAGAAGACACTAGCACTGAGGAAACTGGAAATCACATGCCAGATATCTCTGAAATAATAGCATTGACAGTAAAGAATCAACTGCAGAAAGGTATAGAAGAAATCAGATAAGAAATAATTTCGAAACTAAAAAATGTAATGGTAACTCTAATCAAAGAAGTACTAAATGCTTCTAAAGAATACACTAATAAAAAAAATAGAGGAGAATATAAAAATGATGGAACCCCTGAATAAACAATTTAGGAAAGAAATAGAATCTATG